AACAATTAAAGACGTTGTGAATTATATCGTCGATAGAAAAAATTAAGTAGCAAAATACTAATGTACACATGGTGATGAACAGTGGGACTAGAGACTACTTAAGAATATTTTTTTTTAATGTATTAATTGATTTTTGCAATCACTGCGCTGACGTTAGAAATTCTTTATCACCAATACTTTTATATATTGTCTAATAAATCTGATTCTATTCAAATGAGGATATCATGGATAGTACATTGATAACATTGTGATATATGTAGCAACGTTGTAATCAATGGACACAAATTTTTCTGCAGTCGCTAGTCAAGATTTTATCGAGAATCCACGTCGATCTATAGATGTGAAAAGAGGAAAAAACCTTCAGGACAATATTAAGTCTACTGTCAATATGTGTCACGAATATATTAGTTTGAGTGCATTTTCCATAAACTTTTCTGATATTAAAGACCGACTACTTGATTGTATTTCAAGTTTTGAGGAATCACTAAAGTATGATGAAGTAATTTGTCTTTAGTGTCACACAGGTTTATATAAAATGAAGTCGAACTAATATGTCCAAGGTATGAAAGTTTTTTTTTCAATGACTTTGACAGTAAACGCCTCCATTGAATTTTTTGACGATATATTTTTTCTTTGTAACGAGGAACCATGTTTGTTCTAAAACTAGCGGCTGAAACAGGACGATTTTCCTTAAAATATTTTTGATTTTTACACGTATACAACGATAAAATTTACAAATGTACAGTCAATTAGAGAATGAATTTAATTAGGGACTTTTTTTTGAGTGATATATAATGTATCTAGTCTGGCTTTATTTTGAGCAATAGCTGACCACAGTAAGTAGATAAAATGATCAAAATTTCATCTTAAACTGTTGTACATAAAAAGAGTTTTACGTGAAACAAAGATTATTTAATCATGAATGATAGAAAATCAAGGAATGAGTGTACATTTAGTACTAAGAAAAATTGGTCTTATTAACCTTGCGCCTCTAATATCTCGAAGCTGGTCTGAGAGAAATTCGTGATTGCTGTATGATAGTGAGCAGTTATTAGAGGAGTTTAACCTGACAAAATAATAAGAATTGATTGAGAGAAACTGAGAAAATTGAATTTTTACATAGCTGTAATTCATTCAGATTCATCAACGACGCTCGATATTGCTCTTGGTGCATAACTCTTCGTTTTTTTAATCGATAAAAATAAATCGAGTATCCTAAATTTATATATAGTATGTATTCAATACATTATATTTGAGTTCAGATACAAGCATCACTTCTACACTATCTTTGTATGAACGATTCAATATCAATGTCTCATCAACAGTTACATATCTTTTTTAATCATCGCGGCGTGAGAGATGTTTCAAAAATACTATTTGCAGCAACGGCAGATTTCAAACTGTCATGGACATCTATGCCAGACAGAGATGATCAAAAATTGTCTTTTTCAAACTTAGATATATTGAAAAATAGCTATAATTATATAAATAATCAACTTATGGTTGAACTAGATTTAAATAGACTTACTGCAAATATTTCTATTGTTTGAAATTTCTTAAATATCAAGAGATAAACATGAGGGAATATTTTCGATATTTGTCTGATGAAAAACAAATTAAAATTTTCATTGAATATAATATTGTTTTATTGACATAGAAAAACTTGGGAAATTAATTTCAAAAAATCTTCAATAATTATAATCATTGTAACAATCAAACATTATTTCATTTATTCGTATATAATCTATAAAATATCCTATAATTTGATTTCAATGTAAGTAAAACTATGCAAGTAACATATAAAGAGTTCATTATAAATCATGATGGTATCAGTATTTTGTCGATATCTCGATCAGCTTTTAGCAAATTATATCCACAGAGTATGTACAAAATTTAATCACCAAATCGAAGAGGTATCAATACTCGTATGCCTAAAATTCTTTTATAATATTCGTAATCCTAGAAGAAAATAAACTAGGGTTCACAGCCGGTTATCAAGGAAATATGTCTTTAGAAATCTGAGTATTTTATCATAATACTATGAAAGAGTTTCATGGGATTTTATCGAAAAATGAACGAGGAATCTGCCAAAACGAAGTTCTAATCTCGACGATGTTAACTCTTTGAAACAATGATGATATCGTTATCTCAACTGAAATAGATAGAAACGTTCGTGGTTGTTCCGATCACGACAAAAGAAATAAGAGAAAAAAAAATAGGATCTTATCTTTATTAAATAAATATGAATACTAAAACAAAAAGAGACACATATAGAGCATCTCGAATCTCACAATATTTACAATACTTTCGATTAACATTTAAAATAAAAATATTGTATCTTAACCGAAATAAATAGAACATCTAGTTTTTATTTATTTATTCTTCATAATATTATGATTCAGCCTCATATTTATACTACAGGTCCATCTTTTATTATTCTGTATATTGAAAAAATGTTCAACTAGAAGAAAATAAATAGATATATTGATAAAACTGTAAACTTGTCTTTTGTGCTCCTATATCCTAGAAATGGAAATTTGCTGTTGTAATTATGTCATTATTGTCATCATTTCTATTTGGATAATAGTTTATTAATTGAGACACAAGCTG